CTGCCACATGCAGGGCCACCAGCCTCCCCATTTAATACTAGACCAGGCCGCCCAGGGCCCCATCCAATCTGGCCTTGTAAATGGAACTAAAAGAGATCACATCCCTCCCCTGAATTTGCTGAATCAGATAAAAATTAACCCAAAGTTCATTCTGCTTCAATGATTTAAGTTACTCTACCAGTGCTGTAGTTCCTCTATCAAACACACTGACAGTATATGTGACATATAGCAAAACTCTGCAAGGACAGCAGGCAAGTGGCTGCACTTCAAGGGTCAGATTATCCCTTACCTGAAGCCTCTCTACGGAGAAAATATCAACCAAACTTCCCTGGATAGCTGGTTCAACTCTAACCCGGTACAGCAAGTTGAAGCTACAATTTCAAGCATCTCAGTAGCTGACCAACTGACATTTATGGTTGCAGATAGCAGAGATTTCTGTACTTGAGATGTTGCGACAGTACAGCTTTTGCTGCCTGCGTCCTCAAAGTACAGACAGATCACTTCTGCCCTACCTATCACAGCTCTAGAATATAAATCTGGGAGTCAGTTACTGCACCACGTGCTCAGCTATCCTCTCCCTTGTAAACACAGCAGTGTTCATGCAGGCAGGTGACCAGACCAAGGAAGTGTTTCAGCTGAAAACCTAGCAAAACAAGAGAAGTTTGTTTTTATAGTTGTGTTTCCTGAAGCTGCTCACCCTGCACCTCCAAAAAACATACTAAGTTGGCAGTAGAGCTTGTCCACTTGTGAACTGCCCCACTCTGCAACAATCTTGACAGTAGCTTACAGGAAACCTATAAAACATTGCATAGCTGTAAGTAAACACCATTTGACAGATTAGCAGCAGATTTGTAAAATATTAACAATAATATTTTCCAAGAAACACTAAACCTCCTGAATAATACAAGTTACCAGATCCTCCCAGTAACACCAACGCTTCCAGAATCTCTCTCATAGAAGAATATTTTGTTTTAGTTACAGTATCCAAGTAACTAAACATATAATGCTTATTCAGTAAATTCACTCTAAACAAAACCAAAAGAACAACCAATCAATCCAGCCTGCACAAGAAACATGATTTCTATTTTAAACTCATCTAGCACCTACCATCACATGTTATGACTCCATGCACTAAATTAACAAGCATGCCTTAATTTAGTCATTATTAAAATTAGCTAGCCATCATATATGTTTTCCCTATGTTAACAAAAACACAGACAAATTTCTCACACTTTTTTGTACCAACAACTGTAACCTTTTAAAGTGAATACAGCTTTTACAAGTGGTGCAAAAACTTTTCAGATAAATCAATGACTTGTAAATAAATATCTTTAAAAAAATTATCCAGGTTGTCAGTAGGTAAAATCCTGAGATTTGGACTTACTTTTTCCTTTTGGTTTGGTTTTCCCTTCTTTCACCTTTTCTCCTGTGATAGCAGCAAGTTCTGCTTCTAGGTCACCATCATCCCCACCCTCCTCTGCACCCAGCAGCATCTCTTCAGGATTGAAATCTACAAACAGCCCCAGCTGGAGCCAAGGGAAAGAAAACAAGTTGTGCTGTGAGAAAGAAATGACACTCAAAAACATCACTCTGCATAGATTATTTAAACTTTTTTTTTTTTTTTTTTTTAAGCCAACTGTAACATCACTTCTATTACCAAAATAACGCACACAAGGCATTTGTGACTGAAATGCAGCATACAAATCTTAATAAGCAATGAATACTCCCTCTAGAAACTCTACATTATCAATGATTTCTAAAAATAAAATCTAATAGCTTGCCACAACCAGACAAAATGATGCCTGTTACACTGAACCCCATTAAGCAGATATCATCTAGAAGTTCAGGGTAGCCCTTATCTTCTGGAACAAGCTACATTTACACATACAGAACTATCTTCTATCTCATTAAGTCAGCACATAAACAATCAAAAAAAGGAAACACACACACAGAAACGTCACCAATGTCTAAGTTACACTGGGAAAAACAATCAAGTGTTCAAAATAGATTATCACTATAGTTAAGTGACAGCACCTCAGGGAAGACTATTAACAGTACTCAGAATATGACAGAATGTCTCTAAATTTTGCAAAACATGCCAAAGAACATAAATATCAGAGATATCTCTGAAATCTTAATCTGAAAGATGCTATTCTAAAATGTCATTTTGACACAACTGTTTTAAAGTATCTAACTGACCCAGGAATAAAAGTATTCTTGATGCAAAGAATGTTAATTATTTATTTCCAATAAATACGAATTAGCCAAATTCCATTCATCACGTGAGGTACACAGAGCAGCTTTTCTGAGATTTTTTCAAAGCACAAGGCCCTTTTGGTGTATTGATCTTCACAAAGCCAAGCAGGTAGCAGCTCAACTCCTTTCTAGCATCAGAGTAAAAAAAAGTTACCATTATTACAAGGATTAACAATCTTCCCCTGGCTTGGAGGATCTGAAGTGTTGCCAAGGGTTGAAACTGGCTGTCAGTTTTTTAACTAGTGCTATTCAGTAATAACAACTTTTATTTTTTAACCCCGTAGGAGCAAAGGTATTGGTGGCTCTTTTATAACCCCAAAGAAGGTAAGACACAGTTGAGAAACACAGAGTGCAAGGATCAGGAATAAAGCAGCAGCTGTATGTTTGCTAGCCATGGTCCTGCCCTTGACAATTAGTAAGGCACTGAACTGATAGATGAACCATTCCCTGCCTCCTTTCATCTTCTGTAAAACAAAACTAACATATTTGTAGCCTTGAATAGAATAGAAAGAAGGTCCGGACAAGATTTAATCAGGAAATATCTATAACAGTGATCTAAAGACTCAAATTCAACAGAGTAGACATATCTGTTATCACTATGAAAAACTGATGATTACGGCGCTACAAACATAGCAAAGAAGTCAAAAACAGAACCCAGCAGTTCTAGCTCTGAGTCCTCAATCTGACCAGCAAAGGCACGTATTTTTCAATGAAGTTACTGTATCAAGTGCATGGTTTTGGCTTTCTCCAACTTTTTCAAGCATTTCTTTAATACCCTCATATGGTTTAGAAATAGTTAAGGTCACATTCATTTGCAAGTGAACAAGCCCTTAGTGTATTCAAGAAATAATCCGAGCTGTAAGCTGTAACTAGACAGAAATAAAAACTGGTAAAATACATTAGTCAGATCTTTTATTTTTTCCCTTTTTTAGGGAGAAGGAAAAACACTTGCATCACTTACATTTTCCCTTCCTCAAAAAAACGTAATCAAACACTACTCCTCTAACTGAGAAATAAAAATGATTGTATTAGAGCAAAAATGACTTCAGAGATCTCTAACAGAACCATTCTGCCTCTGGTATAAGGACACTGGTTCCACTAGAACAGAATAACTTACCTAAGACCCCATTTCAATCTCTTATTTCCCTATTTTTGCATCAGCTATTCCTCTAAAGCTTAATCAGCTTCCATTCTGGATCTAACTTATTTTGGAACTTTAATAAGCACTCTCTCTCTCTCTTTCACCACTTCCATTTCCATATCCACAATTTTGCCTTGGTCAAATCTCTTTCTTTATGCTTTTCTGGACTTCCCAAGCCTGCTTATCATTACCAGATTCATGCCTCTCTCATCAAGAAACTACATCCAAATGAAACGAGTACGAACAGAACCAACTTGCAGGCACACCTAAGCTCTCAATGATTAAGCAATAGCTACTGAGCAGTGACAGCAGCTAATCAGTCCATCTGTTAAAGGAAGAATAACCTCACAGAAGGAAATAAACTGTTGCTTTATTGTTTTCCCATCTCTGCCTCTGAATTTGTTACTTAATATTCTAGCCTTACTTCTCTGCTTTTACAGCTATGAGAAGAAATTCAATACAGCGACTGAGTTTACGATTAAATCTCCAAACGAGTGATTAGGAAACTACCCTAAGTGTGAGTCATAAGGTCTGCTACAAAGATTACAGCGTGACAGCACGGTGGCTTCCTTGCAAGGCCTAACTCCATCCATACTGCCCGTCACGTTACTTTAAGAAGGCGCTAAAGGAGGAAGCACAAAACAACCGATAGGCAACTCGAAGTAGTTCCGAGCCTCCCGCAGGACAGCAGCCAAGTCTGAGCGGGCCGCCCTACCCGCGGCGCCCCGGCCCTTCGCCTCCCTCACCTGCTTCGCCACCGCGGCTCCCTGGCCCTTGGCCTGAGGGCTTTTCTTGTGCCTCCTGCCCAGCATGCCGCCGGCGGACCTCAGCGCCGCGTCTGTAAGGGCCGAGCGCAAACGAGGAGCGCGGCGTCAGCGCGCCCGGCCGCCTCGAGGCAGCGCCAGCGGGCCGGAGCAGGCCGCGACCCCGAGCAACGGCCGCCGGTCCCCCGCCCCGCCCCACGGGAGCCCCGCCCGTCCCGTTCTAGCTCAGCCCGGCCGCGAGGCGGGCGAGGCGGCGGCGCTGCCCCGCTCCCCTCGGCGCAGGGAGGAGCCGGAGGAGGCGATAGGCTGAGCGCCGCTTAATAAGTGACCGCCGCCTTCCGGCCCGGCGCCCGGCCCACCTCCTCCTCGCTCCGCCGCCCCCCAGCACGCGGCCCGCCCGGCCCGGGGAGGCCTGGGCCGCAGCTCCGGGACGGCGGTGCGCCTGCGCGGGGGGCGGGGCCGGGAGCGGGGGGGGCAGCGCCGGGCCTGACCTGTACCGCTGCGCGTGGGCTGGGCGCGTTCACTTCCAACAACCAAGGTGTAGGACGGGCAGAGGGATGTGCTAGCTGCAGCTTAAGCCACGGGCACGTTTTATTCGCACAACACGAACACGGTTCTCAAACGGCCCCATCTGCAAACCTTGGGTACGGGGCTGGGAGCAATTTCATTTCAAAGGCAGGTTTTAGGCAGATGGCTGAGGTTATTTCCTTAAAGCAATTCTCAAATGTACCCAAAGTTGATTAAAAGTAACAACAGCCACACACATAGCTCCGTAGTAGCAAAGAATCCTTCATGCAACCAATTCAGCAGATGTAAAGTTCACTTTCAAGGCACAAAGGTTTACACATTCCTCAAACACATCTTTTTTACTCAACAAAAAAAGGAAAACTGCAATGCCACAACAAAAGCAGCTCCACAGGGATAAGCTGAGCAGCACTGATGCCAGTAATCAATTCCAGCTCACACACCTCAGCTGGAAGGGGACTGCTTACCAACAGTGCTTTTGAAACAGATCGTTTCATTTCAAGTATTTAAAATGCTCCAAAGCAAGTTCTTTATTGTACAAAGTGCTTTGATAGACCACGCAAAAATATTTAAAAATACAATCTACTATTTTATCAGTACTTAAAAAAAAAATAAAATAGACCATCTTTAAAATATTTATACATATATAAAAATAAAATCTCTATTGCCTTAGTCATCCTTGAGTGCATACATGACATCATCCTGGCTGATGTTGAGGCGCACACGCATGTGAAGGTATTTATTGCTGGACTCCAGCAGCAGCAGCCTGCAGGCACCAAGCCTGGCACAAATGGCCAAGATGTCTGACACTGTTGGGCTCTGCATGCCCTCCATTCTGCACAGTGATATGTGTTGATGATAGACCTGTTAAAGAAGGAAAAAGATGTAAAAAAAGTAGCTCAAGTTGACCTCCTGCTGCAATCCATAGGCCAAGGTGAAAAAAGGGAAGTTTCCTTCTCTCCTCATCTCTGAATCACAGAATCACCATATTGGAAAAGACCTTCAAGATCATCCAGTCCAACCATCCACCTACAATCAATAGTACTCACTAAACCATATCCCTCAACACAACATCCAGCCATTCCATGAACACCTCCAGGGTCGGTGACTCCACCACCTCCCTAGGCAGCCCATTCCAGTGCCTGAGCACTCTTTCAGAAAAGTATTTCCATTTCTTCTCAGAAGGAAGAACTACTTCCAGCCTATTCAGATGAAATGCACACATCTTGCTGTTGTAGCACCAAACACTTGGAGCTTCTGTCATAATCCGCTATCCTTTATTTTTATATAGCCCCAAAGCAAAGTCATCAGCAACCTAGTCTGTCCACAATTTCAGTCGATCATTTGTTACCACACCTTCCTTGGACTGTGTGGAATGAAGATGATCCAGCAGTCCAAGAGCTGATGTACAGCTCATCACCCATCTGTCCACTCAGAAGTGACATGCAGGGCAAGTGACCAGTAAGCAGTGTTGCTGACTGCAAACATCAACAAACAGCATAGAAAGGCACAGTACACCTTTAGGCACAGGAGAACACAACTATCACAAATCATGCAGACTAAGATGACATTGGTTGGGATTTTCTGATTTTCTATTTTAGGAAAAGCAAAAGAAACGCTTTTGTTCTTAGAGGAAAAACTAGGGGAAAAAGTATGAGATCAGCCAAACAAGATATTCTTTGTTGTTCAAGAAGAGATTGCCCACTGTACCTATGCAGTCAACTGACAGATAGTCAGGAAACTGTAACAGAAAATTCTTACCTGTAGAACCAGATTTAGTTAGCATGTCATTTTATATAAAAATATATAGTTTTAAATATTTTTAAGTATTTGCATTTAGCTTCCAAGCACAAAATGGACTCTCTACGTGGCTCTGCTGGTGTATTTTATGAGTCCACTAAAAAATCCTGAAGCTACTATTGGTGATATCTGTCTCTAATATGAAAGAGGATGATACAGAAATTGGAATTAGCTTTCAGTTTTTATCTTTGAACTGTGTTACCCAGTATTTCCAGGTTGTTTTATTTCTTGTCATTAAACATGTTGGGTGAAGGCACGTTATTATCAGATGCAGAGAAAAAAATACCTTGTGTGAGCCAAACCACTTGGAATGTTAATATAAGTGCAGGTGTTTCCAAGTGGTATCATCAATTATGCTTCACACCTGGGCTAGACAGCCATGTCCCAGTCTACCACTGGGACCCAATTTATTATCATATTGTTTTCCACCAGGTTCTAGGAATACAAATCCGAAATGTTTAAACATTTATAGTTTTGCCTAAGAGTTTTTTTTTTTTTTTTACAGTGCATTTAAATGAAAGTACCACAAAACACTTACATACCTGTTGAATTGTTGCCTCCTCAACTCCCGCCCTACGAAACTCTGCTAAAATTGCTTTAAAAAATATTTGTTCATGCAATGAGGCATTCCTGAATATCAAAACAAAATGGGCAAGAATTAGTCTCCAAAGTTCTTCCAAAGGACTCACAAGTTCTGAAATCTGGGAGGAAAATCACCTGCTAGCAACACTTAAATGCAGAGTATTTTCCTACCTACAGTGGAAATTTGCAAGACATCTTGTCAAACAGCCCATATTACAACCTGCAGCCCTGACAGTACAGAGCACTGCATCCCATTCCTTTCACTATCTATCTGAACAAGACATTTGATGCAGAATATAAAGCTTAATGGATCAGTTAAAGTGCCACACAGTTTCCTAATTGTACAGATCCTTGTTTCTTACAAGCATTCATGTGAGGAATGACATGAGATCAAAAATTAACATGGTAAATATCTATGAATTGCAAAATCGTGTAATGCCATAATACTGTGAGTGTACTGTGCTGGCAGAACAAGTCTGTACCTCCTTTAATAATTCTCAACCCAAGCTGAAAATGGCAGAATCCATATCAAACTCCATACATGCTTTGCAATGTGTTACAGTCAGTAATTAACAATTAACAAATTAACATTTTTCAGACAAAATACAGTAAACAGGGACAACCAGAACATCTCAATATCCCTGAAGGGAAAGCTAGTATGGAAACAACTTTAAACAAGAAATTTCTGCACCTTGTTTTCCCATCTTTCATTTCTATTTTGTATCTCTCTTCTGGCTGTGCTGTGAGATTGTTTTTTAAAATCATATTTCAACAAAACATAATGCATCACATGCACTCTAAAAGGAATGTAAGGATAGACTGAAGGTTTTTGAAAAATAGCACAGTGAAAGTGACACAAAAGCAAATAAATGCCCAAAAAATGTTTTTACCTGATTGCCTTTATATATGGTGATGAGAACATTTCATCTATGGCTTGTGTTATGTGGGTCATCCTGACTATCTCCTGAGTACTCTTTTGGCTAGAAAACTCACAAATCTCAGCGGCCCTCCTGCAGATATCAAGGCAACGCCTTGCATCACCAGACAGCGCTGCTACCTGAAAGTAAATGTGACAGGTTTGTAGAAATATTTCTTTGCTAAACACTTATCAGCTTGTAGAATCAATAGGCCAGAAAACAAACAACAGGTGGACTATGTTATGCAAATTCAGAGTTGAAATACTGGTCAAAATTTTGATCTTATTGATCAAAAGCAACTCCCTTACACCCACCTTCATCTAGCAATCACTAATTTGACACTGAACTTTTCTTTAAAACCACAGACGGTTAAAAAAAAATCTAGGAAATTCAGCATGAACAGTTTAATTCAAAACTTCTCAGAAACATTTTGAGTACCTTACCACAGTCCATATTCACACAGGAAAAAAAGCAAAAATTCTCTTTTTCATACACCAAGTAATATTATTTTAGGAGTACACAACTACTTGAGATAATGAATTTACACTTGCAAGTGTCTGAAGAACTTCAGGTTTACAAAATTTCTGAAACTAAATACCTCTTAGAACCCCACTTGCAGCTTGCAGTTTTAATGACATTTTCATTAGGCCATGCATACATCTTAATTTGAGAAGCTACGAATCCCTAAGGCATTATTTGTTTGTTTTTTTTTTTATACTACAGAGCATACAGACTGGAAATAGATTACATTGAGACCTTAAACATCTGGAGAAAGAGAAAGTGATATTTCCACTGCTACTGGCATACTAGACTTCCCCCTTGCTCTCCCCCCCAGAGATCCACCCAATGATTCATTACGCCAAACACTGTAGAAAGCTGATACTATCATTAAGCTACCTTCTCAAAACAGGTGGAAAAAAAAACAGGGACACTGCTTTAGCATGTTTCCTGCAAAAATGCCATGTATACTTCAAAGAAAGTGCATGATCCACTGCTAGTGCCTCATTTTGTCCCCAGTGCAGAATGTGTACCCACAGAACTAAGATTGTTACAGAATTCTCCCATGTCCCCCGTAATTTTTACCCAGCTCAACACAGAGGATAATATTTGTACTATATTTACCTTTCTGGAAACTAGCTGAATTGCATCCTCTTCAAATGCCTCCACGCTGTTTAGTCTAGATGAAATAATTTGCTGTAGCTGTTTGTAGGTGTAGGGCTGAAAGGACATTCTGGTGAGACCCTGTAGCAAACAATAAAATACAGTGAGAAGTGCTTGCAGTACTTAAACTATTCGAGCATAACCTGCATAGTTAGCAGTTATAACTTCTCTGGTTGGATCAATCTGTTTCATCTGTTTCACATTCTTCCCCTCCAAGCTTTGATAAGCTTTAATCTTTTTTTTTTCTGCTTTGCATTTGTAAAAAAAAAAAAAGCATGCACATCCACAAATGAAACAGATTGAGTGCAGATCACTACCCCAGAAGGGTAGAGCTAGTGGTGCCTGCTATTAGAATCCAAGTTCTCTTACAAAACTTGTAATCAAAAGATTTCTATTGAGTGGCTCTGGTTTATTTACAACTGTTTACATTAATTTTTAACTACCGTAACAACAGAACCTACCAAAACTATCCATCTCTAGATATCTGTGTGCATGTATACAGCCATACTGCTGACTTGACATTAGGCCTGCAAGTCAGCAACCAGCAAAGAACCACAAATCCACCTCTGGCTCAAGCTAACAACAACTGATTTCAGATGAGAAGACCAACCTATGATCTATATATGACATACTGCCTTTCATATCCTACAGGAGTCAAAGCTTTACATCCTTTATGAATTCCTCTCAATTCCTCTCCCTTAACTACATGGGTTCTCAGAGCTTCAGCTAATCTGCAGGTTCAGTGGGTAGGAGAAAGCAATTCACAGTTACTGTGCAACTATTCTCGAGTCACAGAAGGATGAAGGCAAAGCACTGTTTTTGCAAATCACTTCTTATGGAAGCATTGAAACAATGACCTAGGACAATGTATTATACACATGTATAGAGTACATCCAATTTCCTGACCAAAGGTATTCAACAAATAAAATCCACCATCTGATTAGAGCAAACAGAGACAAGTAATTATATGCCAGAAATGAAAGGGGAAATAGCAAGGGAAAACAGAAGGAAACTTCTCTGAACTGAGTAAGCAGCTTCACCATGATGCACAGAATTCAATTATACAAAACTTAATATGTTTAAAAAGACATCTGCATTCTTTTTCTTAATTCATTTTTATAAGATCAGAGTGTTCTTATGTAGCATAACATCTGACTAGTGAGCTGGCTCCTATACTTATTTTGCTAAGATTTATATGATCATCTGCCCTATGGAGACAAGAGGGAATTATAATTGCTTATAATTATTTAGCTTCTGATGTAACCCAGCCCCCACCGTACCTTTCCCTCCCAGATTACTTTTGATTGCATGCAGCACTCGGTTTTTTTTTTTTGGTTTAAGCTTAGCAAGCTAATTGTTAGAGGACATACCAGCCTGCTAGATACTCTGTTCATCATTATTCTCTCTGGCAAGTCCATGGTGTTAGCAATGGCCAGGATGATTAACTTGGAGTGTTTTTGAGTTGGCCAGTCAAATAAGTTGTACATCACATTCTGCTTTCGGGTCCATAGAAGATCAAGCTAAAGAAAAAGATAAGAACCTGACTGAAAAAGAATGTCTTGTAACAATACAACTTACAATGAGGTTTGAGAGTTAGTTCTGCCACAAAACACTTCTTACATAATACTGAACAAGGTGTCTCTGCTGCATTTCCTTTGCTAATCTATTAATAGTTCTGCATTTTTTGAATTAGAGTTCTCTAATCTCTCTCTGAAAAGTATTCATCACAAACTTAAGCTGCAATTTCAAACACTAATGTGATATATTACAAGCAACAAAATTAAACTGCCTAACCATGCAAAGATCTGAATTATCTTATAGCAAAAAAAAAAAAATCATTACTGAACACAGTATATCCAAAGTTTCAAAACTAGATTTTTCACTGTGAATTTTCTCTCCACAAAAAGATGCAGCTTCCAGATAAAATTCCATGTATCAGTATCAATACATACTCTACAGTTCATTTCTATACTATTTAGGAGCTGACATCATTAATTATGCTGTACAACATAAAGCCAACATGAAAACGAAGACAAAGAATTTTGGCAACAGGAGACTCATCTATTTACATTCAGTTTCCTAAGGAGACTAAGAGGAACTATTTGAGTGCCCTCATTCCAAAGTCTTCTCCTTTAGATCATATATGACATACTCTAAACACAAACTGTTTTTCCAGTCTCTAAAAACTTTTTTTAAATTATACTTTAGGAAAGATTTAGGATAGAGAATGAAGGATTCCTTGTCTCACCTCATCCACTACCAGCACTGTTGTCTTCCTCTTTGGTCCAGGTGTGCAGAACAGTTTTGCCAACAGCACTGCAGCATGAGTTGCTGTCACTTTCTGACCTGTTAGTAACTGGACAAAAATTAAATTATACTGCAGGTTAATCACACCAAGACTCTAGTAATAGGTAGTTAAAACTTACACAGGGTTAAACTTTCAGAATTATTGATTGTTAGTAGTCTTGAACCCCATAAAACATTGAGGATCTGAATTTCCTCTTCTTTTAAAGGAGAGCAGCTGAAGAGGCATTTCTCACCTCTAGAATCTGCACATAAGCTTGGTGAGGATCAGTAAGCTTCATGCCATTTATCTCTATGAACTGGAATGATGGTAGGTCATCATCTTCTGTAGCTCGCTGAAGACAGCGAATCACTTCATGAACAGTTGCAGTTTTACCTGTTCCAGGCACTCCGGAAATATACATGCACCTACAAAATAAAATACCTTTTTAGTAGTCTCAGCAAAAGAGTAACACTCTTAGTATCAAGAAATTGGAGTTCCTGGGCTCTGACACTGCCTTGAATACCCTTCACTCTCTGTCACTTCAGGTAACTCCCCACATTCAGTTACTTTATTGCAAATTAGGACATGTCACACGTGAAAATATAAGGTTTATGTTTTTTTAATTATTAAAAGTAACTAACAATTTAAAACACTTTAGAAATTCTAATTTTGCTTTGTTAAAAAAATATTTTGTCAGACATCTAAAATTGACTAGGCATTTCTGTCTTAAATTTGAATTTGTACAATAAAGGAATTCACAGTATTTACATGCACAACAGCTCTCAAGGAAAAAAAAAGCATGCTGGAAAATTCAATTAGGATCTTTACTTCAGTCAAACTAGGATAGCCTTTTAAATAAAAGCAGCCTTGATTGACTGACATTGCACCATAGGTATACGTGATCTCAGTTACACAGCCTCACCAATGAACTCACCCTCCTGTACCATCAATAAGTTTGCTTTCCACAAAGTTATAGATATCCTGGAATTCTTCCTCACGACAGGGCAAAGACTCTGGGACAGCAGAAACATGCAGCCTTTTGATTAAAACAAACAAAGGAGTCAAACAAACTGGAGGCCAAAGAGTTGCATTTTCACAGATCTACCTGACAGGCCTTAAGGGGCAAAACAAATAGCAAGCCCCTCCCACCTCTTCCCTTCACAGCTCTGTGTAGTTTTTTAAATCTGTCTTAGATACTTTAGGTTTGAACACCAGTGTAAAGTATCCAAATGAAACAGTCTAGTCTCTCTAGAGGTTTTAAGCTTTAAGACAGCTGAACAATCATCATCAAATAGTATTAAATGAGGTATAGTAGGGATAAGAAGAGGTGATAGCTTGTAGGATGGTACTCACTGTACTATTATAATCTACAAGAGAGGATCTTTGCTTTTTTTTTTTTTTTTGAGTGTTAGAATAAAGACAGATACCTAACTGAAGAATTTAGCACTAAGTAGTTACAATAACTTGCAATTGTAGAAGTAGTACTATAGCCACCTGTAATTACAGTATTCATTGTCAATTTATTAGTGTTCCTCTGGAATCAAAATATTATCAATTTTCACTCAATTTATTCAATCTGGTAAAGGTGACATTATCCTATTTTAGTATTTCCTGCTTTCAGTAAACGTTACCTTAATCTGGCTTCTTCCAGTACACTGGTTGGTTTCTGTGCTGCATGGCTGCGCCTGGGAATTTCAGGAGTTGCATTGCGGGGTGTCCTGGGTGTTCCTAGTAAGGGCTGAGAAGAAAAAATTAGTATCTCAAACAGATCTGCTACATACAGGAATTTCTACCAGAAACAAATCAGTCATATAAGCCTCAAAAACATTAATTACACATAACTTCCTGGAGATATCAAAGTACAAGAAGAAAGGAGGCATGGTCCTTAAAGGAAGGAATTGCCAAATTAAGTCTCATGGTCTTTTCTTCCTTGAACAGACAAAGAAACCAGCAGGCAAAATAGTGACAGACAACTTTACCTTTTGATTTGCTGAAATATTTTAAAGTTCTTTACGTTCTGTAACTCTGTGTCCCAAAGTGATCTGGTTCTCAAGAAACAGCAAACAACTAGAAACTATTGATCTGCATTTCATTGTCCAAACAAAAAAGCCACACAGTATCTTATATATTCTTCCTCATTGTGCTTACAAGCTCTAGTTGTGCTAGGATTTCTGTGTTACACTTTACATTAAAATTAGCCTCTTCCAAGGATCCCCATCCCAAGCCCAGTGGCTGTGACACTATGAGAAACTGCTGGCCATACTGTCTTTAGCATGGCCAGGATTCCTTTTGTGCTGGTAGCCATCAGCACAGTGCTGAACTTACAGCTTTCTGCAATATTTGAAGATTGCATTGACCATTGACCTAAGATTATTCAGAAACAGCAAAACTAAAGTGTCTCAGTGTGCAGTGCACAATAAAAGAAAAAATGCTGGCCATAAATGGATGCTTAGAGTACAGTAAGAACAAGGCAAGAACAGCCTTAAGTATTTTCACTTCAGAGGAGTTAAGTTAACTTGCTGTGTCCTCTTTCTTTAGTAACTCTCAATAGATCATTCTTGGGTATTTAAGTCAGTCGTTCACTGAACCCACATAATATTTGTACAGTAAAAATATTGCTTGCCCAAGAACTGCACAAGTCTAACTACTCATTAAATAATTGACTAATTGCTTTCAGTTTAATCATAATTCCTACCAGGTTTATTTGAGAGCCTGTAGATTATACTGGGAGAGAAAAACAGTTTCTGCTCCACTCTTCTACCACTTGTGGGAGGAGATAGGGTAGGTGTGTGAAGTCACATTGCCTCATTTTAAGAGTCACAATTCATGTACTTCTTTCAATAGTTTCCCATGCAGAAACAAATCCATTATTTCATTACCTCTTGCCTTCCTCCAAACCAGCATGGAGCTTATTTTTTGTCTTGAGAATAGTGGTTGAGAAATGCAGCACCATTCAGGTGTTTCAAACCATTTCCTCAAATCATCTCAAAAAAAAAACCAAACTAATTATCCCCTAGGGACTCTTCTGTTGTTAAGCTGCCCAGTGATTCACACAAGACTTTCACTTATGTATCACTAGTAGATGTCCTGAATCCACAGCTTAAGAACTACTGATTCAGGACGTGCTAATGCTCTTCCTCCCTTCCTAATTCTTTCCCCTGTTCTTCCTCAAAGTAAGCAAAGACATTACAGCCACACAACAAACAAACAAACCCAGCACAGTCAGCAGTCACTAGCTCCAGCCTAATCCAACATTTCCTCTGTTTAGGCTAGAGAGTTTTCTGATCAACACTGTTGTAACATTGAGGATAAGCAAGTACTGCATTTTCATAACTTAGTCATACTGAAGATTATGCAAATGTTTCATCTAAAGCATGGGGTCTCAGATACTTAACTTGGGCATACAGGCATTGATCATTAGAAAAAAAAGGTTTAGAAACAATAAAAACTTTTTAGAGTGTCAGGAGCAATAAGAAACCTTACTGTTTTCCTTGGGGTCTTGGCAGGAGTGTGAACTGAAGGCTTCCTTGAAGATTTTGGGGTGCTGAACATTCTGCTTGATTTAGTTTTCTTCTCTGGGGTACAGCCCACATCACTATCTTCTTCCTCACTACTTGAGGAGTAAGAACCATCTGAGCTAGACAGGAAATCCTCTTCCTCCTTTGATTCTAGCATATTTAATAAGCTAATAAGAAAGAAGCGACAGAAGTCTTTTAAAAAAATACATATGACTGCTCATTACAGAGTGTCATTTGATACATTTTCAATTTTTCCTGTAAGGTGCCTATAATCAGCAAGTCAACTTATTCTCCACTTCAGCTGTTGATTTTCCATAGCTATTTAACAGACAGAGTATTAAAGGAAGTCAGCTTAATTTTTCTTAATATAAGACAGTTTTTACTCACTTTGCAATATTTGCACCTTATTATTAAGCTATACAAACTCTTGAGGCTTCAAGTTGTCAAAAACAACTTCAACAAGATGGCATGAAAGCAAAAGTTCACCTGATTTGTTCTGCAATGCGAGTGCTTGTCTCCTGTGAACACGTTCTGCGAGAACGAGGGGTCACAGCAGGGCTCTGACTACCCAGCTCCTTATGTCCAGTTAAGCTGTAAAGAACACAGAGCTACTTTTATTTGAACCACACTTGTAAAGATGGAGAGGAAGCCCTTTAAACTTCAGACTCAATTGTTAAGCCTGTAAACTCAATGCAAATACAAAAGTAGTTATGAAAATACTATTACTTACACTATAGCATCATCTTCCATATTAAGATTCTTGACTTTTTCATTAGAGTCTTCAACCCTCCTATAAGGGGACAATCTTAGTGTATCACTAAACATCTCCTGGTGCTCTGCTGTACCAAACACTGACTTCAGCTTATCATTGGCACAAGTTATTTTTGGTGGTGAGCTTAGAACTTCAGTGAATTTCACTTTTCTTTTAATAGCTGTTGGTTTTAAGAGTTGAGAATCGTAGACATCATCTGAAAGTTCCAAAACATCCTGTTCCAGGAGCTTGCCTTTCGAAGATCTTGTGGGACCTAGGAATTAAAAGCAAAATAAGCTTTTGTCAGGCTTTAACATGGATGGTTTGAGTTAGAAGTTTCAGAGAAGTCAGTAGTTTCAGAAGACATGGTATGACTCAGAGTTGTAATTTAAATGAAACGTGATGGCATTACACTTTGTGGGCAGAAAACTGAATTAATGGAAAGCATGCATTCCCTCTATGAATATGACAACATAGTAGAAAAGTGAAAAAAATCAGGCTGTAACTATCACTTCTAACTTTACTCAGCTTTCAGTTTGAATATATGGTCCAAATGTGTTCATTCAGTCAATCCAATGTAAACCTACTTGCATACCATTACCCAGAAAAATAAGGAAAAAAAAGGCAGACATTCTGAGGTCAAGATGGAGTCACAATACTACATTCAAAACAGCCAAATGGACAGAATACACATACTGACATATACATACTGTTCAAATCTAACTTCTTTCTTGCAGTTGGATTTTTGGTGCCATTATCCATTCTTAGTGAATGTCTCTTCTTATAAAGGGAAGACTTGGAAGCAGAATGTTTTGATTCTATTTCCATCTCAGCATTTTTTGTTTTTGGGGCACTCCAAGCAACCTTCTTGGTCTCTTTCTTCACAGAGGAAATGATATCCAAAGGAACAAAAGAGCTGGAAGAGTTTGGGATGCCATCCCCTTTCTTGTTAGCTTCATTCAGCATAGAGAACGTGTGTGGGGACAAAACCTTAAAGCATTTCCCATCCCAAGACTGTTTTACGCAGAAAATTTTCTCCTTTTTTAATCTAGTAGGCAGTTCATCCTTTAGACGTAGTGGTATTACCTGAAAAAGGAGAAAAAATACCAACACATGCATACTGCTAATTTAGCATTCAACTGTTTTCTATTCACATATCTTACGGTTGGAACTCATGGAACTTCATTACAGGTGGCAATGTATCCAGTCTACAAAACAGTTAGCACAATGTTACCCTGCTACAGGCCCTGTTGAACCATGACAGGCCTCCATCACATTATTTCCTTCCACGCAATCCTCTAAATGGGCTGGCTGCCCATAACCAAAGTCACTTGGGGATGGAAGAAAGGAAGAGTATCAAGTTTTCAGCCACCCTGCACAACTTCATTAGCAATCAAATACACATTGCATGTTCAGTTCAGAAGGAAGTAAAGTAGCTGCACTGTTCTGTTTTTCAAATTGATTCAGTTTTTTTCCTTCTGCGTGTAGATGGGCTGCAGTACGTACCAGCACACTTTCAATGATAGTCTCCACAGCTATGTCAGTGTCATAGCCAGAAACTAGATCAAAAAACACTTCCTGGGAAGAAATTCTTCTTTTAAGCAGTTTCTGCTTATTCTTAGGTATCTCTGTAATATGAGTGAACCACTGCACAACTGCATGCTTCTGCTGAGCGCCTACAAATGAAAAGAAAATGAACACTAAGAATTCTCTCATATCACAAATAGTTCTTAGCAGATCTTGGTGACTTCAACTAACATACTGCACAAGACACTTTGCATATATGTACTGAAAGACAGTGTTCTTCCTTAACTTTTTATTTAGAAAAAAATTATAAATTTAGAAAAAGAGGATGAAAAATTTTCCAGATGAAGGAGGGAGATAAAGTAACTCAAGCAAACAAAGCTAAGGCCAAAACTAGAAACTGACAAATGATGCAGAAGTTCTAGCTCTCATAGCTCTGACAAGTATGTATACAGACAGTTTTGTACCAACTGCAATGTAATTACATTAGAAGAGTGACGTTTAACTACATCAAAGCTCAGCACTCCATTTCATCCCTACTGCAGTACCACATTAAGGGCACCACAGCTGAAGCAGTGCCACTGGTTACTTGATAGAATTGCACACTTCTGGTGAACCACGAGGATACCACAGCCACATTGTTCAGTGCTCACTAGACAGACGTGGGAGTCAGGGAAAACTTTGGGCACTGCAGCACTCGCTGGGACTGACTTGGATTAATTTAGAGAAAAATTAAACATCCTGGTGCTTCTTTAGCTACACCTGATCCTGGGGAATTTCACTGAGAATTTAAATTTGCATCCTTTAAAAAATAACTACTACTCAAGTAGTCTGTATAGTTCAGTCAAACAACTAAAGCCTGATCTAAAGAGAGCTGTTTCTAAAGAGCCTTTTATTTTGATATGTCACATAACAAGTACTTAAGTACTTTACTCTGGGAGTCAGTCATGTGTGCACACAAGTAAATTTACAAATGTATGTAGCTATGTAAATGTTAAGAAAATGCCAGTCTGTTTTCTTAGAACTCATGCAAGCAGGCTCTTTGTCCAGGAGTTCCAGAAAACTCCCATATCTGTTCCCTTCTCACACGCTGGGAAATTCAAAACAAAAATGCACAGAAATGAGCCACCAAGGATATAAATTCTGCACAGACATAGGTGAGGAAGTAGCTGATATGAGATTGTAAGTCCGAGTTGATGATTAATTGATGTTATTGACAAGTTGATATCTGAATTGAGACCGTCACAGCTTAAGGTGATACTTATGCCAAGTCTCAAATAACAGAATTCATTCAGATCAGCTAATCTTTTTCACACAAAGGATGGTGATACACTGGAACAGGTTTCCCAGGGAGGTTGTGGATGCCAAGACCAGGCTGGATGTGGCTCTGGGCAGCCTGGTCTGGTGGTTGGCAACCCTGCACATAGCAGGGGGATTGAAATGAGATGATCATTGCAGTCCTTTTCAACCCAGGCCATTCTATAACCTAACATTTCACTGTCACAAATGAAGAAGTTCCATACTGGCATCCATGCGATCTAACTGAACTCTACTAACTGAAAGAAGCGACATAAAAGAAGAACTGAGAAATTTCACAGCATTACTGCTAATTTTGGTGTTATTTTAAAGATAAACCAGAATTGTTTGCTCACTGACTAATGAACCAGAGAATCCTGCTGTGAAATACCAGAGACGAAAGTCTGAATAAACAGCATGAGAAGGCTCCTTGTGGATAGAGTTAAAAGACATTTAGAACATAATACAGTTTTTATGCTCCATTCATATTTTAAGGTGTTCATCTTCAAATGAAAACAAAACCAAACATCTTTAACAACTTTGTCAAAGATATGGAAAACCTTTTCAAGAAAAATTCACAAATTTCAGTCCAGCATGAAAAGAATATTCAGTTATGTTACAATAAATGTGCATTACAAATATGCATCACTCTATGTATTTTTGTTTTGAATGAGAAAAATCCACAAAATACTGTCAATGCAGATCAAAAGAAACAACAGCTGTTGAAAGAAATGAGACTTAGCTAATGAATAGTTTCTCATTCAGACTCTACCATAGCCTTTGTGCCACTGTCCTGCCACGATTTATCTTTCATATCTACCTCTACCTACAAATAAGTAGTTCTACAAGGGACAGAAGTGACAAGCTCAATTATTCAGCAGTGTATCTTACACTGAAATCCTTGGTGTCTAATAACATGCAAGTCTCAGGGCTGCAGTACTCTTGTTCCAGTGGGATTCTCCAATATCTAAATGAAGCAAGAGCTCACGTTGCCTTCCTTAAGGACTATTTCTTTTAGAAGTAAACAACTAAGCAAAACATTGTGCCTTTTAAAGCCTTTCAATTGCACTTAGCTATCTAATTTAGATGAAACCAGCACCAAATATTTTGGGAGAACGTGCATACAGAAGCAGTCATCAGCGCAGTCCAGTTTCTGTAATAAGTTAGAGCAGCAACACAGTGTTAATGCTAACCACACCCCCATGATATAATTATCTTTAAAGCATTTTAAGATTCCTCACATAGGAGATGAGTTTTTATTTCTTACCATCTTCATACAAATCCAGGAGTTGTGCCACAAAAGGTTGATCTGCGTTTTCTCCTTCTATTAGAACAAAGTCACCAAGCTGTATACATCTTTCTGTTTTGCTTCTCTCTGATTTGATAAGGATTCCTCTAGAAAATAACACAGACAGGTCAGCATCCTTTATAACTCACATGACATCAAATCTGACCTTCTGGCCAACTTAAAGCCACTTACGCCCCATCCAACAAAGCCTGAAGTCAGGCTTTCCGATTAAAAACCTTTACTTGCATTTTGAATAGGCAGTTAACCTATTCACAGATATAATTAAATGCTTTTGCTCAAACATACAATTTACATTTCAAGAGCTTTATGACAACACTTTTTGTGGTACATATATAATGCCATGACACATATGACAAGAACTACTGCTATTTAGTTATATTCTCACAGACAAATTAACCTAGGTGATGTCAAAAAGGCAAAGCAAGCGTCACTGCCTACATCCCCCTGAGAAAAACAGAAATAAACGTTTTTTTACTTGTACTGCAGAGTCCTCAGCTTTCTGTCTGAGCTCATGGGCTTTCCATACCAGGAGTAAATGATTTTGCTCTGCTGACAGGTGTCCATGATTCCTGAGGAAAAGAGAAAGCACATGAACGAGCAATTGTTGTTTACAGCTTAAAAATAAGTGGGGACAACACTCAAGATCTCCAGACCGCGGGAATGGCCGTCAGTTCCCGATTCCCCCAAGCGGTGCAGGTTAAGACACAGCCCCAGTTCCCAACCTCAGCCCCCGCCCGCTGCTCGCGCTAAACCCTCGGGGTTGAACCCGCCCTGAGGGCCCCCTTTTCCCTGCACAATGCCCGCGCACGCCGAGGGCCGTTTGAGCGCATCTCCTCACTGGTTTTCGCCTATCTCCCACAGATGCGGAGAGTGAAATAGTCTCACACGCTTCATCTCCCCCCCCTCTTCCTTTTTTGGCCTCAGAGCCGCCGTCCCCATGGTGTCTTCCTACCCCCGGACAGCCCGCGTGGCCATGGCGGCGGACGGGGTCGAACCTGCAGAGACCTCGAAGCGCCCTCACAGAACTGCTGCAACCCAGCCGCCTGCCCGCCCGCCCGCCCGCCTGCTCCCTTCAGCGTCCGCGGTCCCGCTCACCACAACGCCTCAGCGATCCCCGCGCGCAGCAGCACCAACGGTAGCGCCGCGAGCTCCTGCAACCCCCGCGATAGAATTTCGCGCCAAAGCCCACCCGCAGTCCCGCCCTCTCCGCCGCGCGTGCGCACAGGGCGGAGAAGGCGGGAGAAGGTAGCTGGGCAGTGCCGCCATATTTGAATCTGGAAGGGATACCGGAAGCGATACGCTGCCCAAAAAGAACGTGGCGGGATGGGGGGGGGAGGGGAACAGGAAGCGGAAGTTGTTGCTGTTCCTCGCGGAAGTGGAGTGTGTTTGCCGCCGTGCTGAGGGGAGCCGGGGGCCACCGCCATGGCGAACCGGACGGTAAAGGACGCGCACAGCATCCACGGCACCAACCCGCAGTACCTCGTGGAGAAGATCATCCGCACCCGCATTTACGAGTCCAAGTATTGGAAAGAGGAATGCTTCGGTCTCACGGGTATGGCGGGCTGGGTCGGGCGGGGAGCTCCAGGGGAGGCCGGCACTGACGGCTGTCCGTCTCGCAGCTGAGCTGGTGGTGGACAAGGCCATGGAGCTGAAGTACGTGGGGGGCGTCTATGGCGGGAACATCAAGCCCACGCCTTTCTTGTGCTTGACGCTGAAGATGCTGCAGATCCAGCCCGAGAAGGACATCATCGTGGAGTTCATAAAAAATGAGGACTTCAAGTAAGCTTGTAGCACGTTTCCTTGCTTTTAGCTCTTTTGTTTGTCGAAATGTGGATGTCCCCAGCTGCTAGGGAAGCTCCAGGGCAGGACTCGGCTTCTTGTACACAAAACCTTTGTAAATGTGCTCTTCTTGCTAAAGCCTGGCCTTACTCTTGCTTTCCGAAGGCTTGTTCCTCTTATTGCTGGGCTGCTGAAAATACTCGCCTTTATGGCTTATGTTCTCTGCAGTAACATAGCCTGAAGTACTGGGAATGAGGTGCATTAATGGAGCTATAATCACTATTTTCTCTTCAGTGTTTTTTTAATCTCTGGGAATGATAATGCAGCTCTGCATGTATAAACAACCTGTACTGGGATGATGCACGTGCTTGAGTATTTGAAGGAAAAAATCCACACTCTTTATTGTAGGGTACTGTTTTTCTCATAAAATCTTGGGGACGATTTTTCTTTACCTAAACTGCTATCTATGCAGAAAGCTTAGATATGTGCAATGGTTTACTTTCCAGGTATGTCCGAATGCTTGGTGCATTGTACATGAGATTGACAGGCACAGCTATTGACTGCTACAAATATCTTGAACCACTGTACAACGACTATCGAAAAATAAAAAGTCAGAACAGAAATGGGGGTAAGCAACCTTACATAGTTATGGTTTCTCAATGCATTAATGGCCATTAATTAACAGATGTTTCTTTTAGAAAAATGTTCTTTTTTAATAATGTGTAAGTTAAAAAATGAGACACAACTATCTTTTTGAAACACCAATTTTACTAACTTATCCTTGTGATATCATTTTGTGACTCTTGTACAAATGAGAACTGCCTTACTTATTTTGCTTTCCCCAAGTGCTTGCGTTTTCTTTTGACACTGAAACTCAGTTCCATGTATATCAAAGAAGCATGCTACTGGAGTGAGTTCAAGCACTGGGCATCTGCTATTCTTAGCTGTGCTGTAATTACTCCTTTCTACAAGACGTGCCTAAGGATTTCCTTCATCATTAAGAACAATTTTAAAGCTATTGTTTGTGCAGCTCCTTCAGCGAAGTCCAAAGTGTCTCATCTTATTTATATAGTGTTAACCATGTATTTAAGATGCTGTTTTTTTCCCTCTAGAATTTGAACTGATGCATGTGGATGAGTTTATCGATGAACTGCTCCATGAGGAACGTGTGTGCGATATAATTCTGCCTCGATTGCAGGTTTGGAGAAGTGAATGGTCTTAACTGCATCATATTCAGTAGTTGTTTTGGCTACTGGCACATTGCATGAAACTATTATTAAGACTCTTTGGGCATGTCAGATGCCTCTTTGGTGCTTATCTTATATATAGCCCAAGAATAAAGTTGTAATTTCTCCTAGAAACGATATGTTCTGGAAGAAGCTGAGCAACTTGAACCTCGTGTTAGTGCTCTGGAAGAAGATATGGATGATGTAGAATCTAGTGAGGAGGAAGAAGAGGAAGATGAAAAGGTTAGTGACATGTTTTACAGAGGAATAGATAAAGCTAGTGCTGGAACTGCCACAAACTGTATGGGTTTGTGAGAAATATTTGAGAGATCTCAGCTGCTTACAGTGATCAGCTCCTCCCTTAATGGATTTTTATGTAAGCTGCCTGTGAGAACACTTTAGATCCTGAAGCAACTCTGAAGTGTTGTTTGTCAAGCTTTCCTGCCTGCTGAAAATCACAGCTCTGAATCTCTTTTGTGCTACTTAAACATGTTTTAGATATTTTATCTATTATTTTACATAGCTAAAAAGTAAAGATGGTGAAGGTTATGATGACAATTGTAGTCAATTCTGCTGTGCTATTTAAGAATCAACAGCATGACAGCGGCCATTTTAATTTCCAGTTAGCAAATTATTTGGGCATTATCACTCATACATGAATTTTAAATATTTGAGGAAGAAAAGGCATGATTGGATGACATATTTCTTCTTTTTTCACTTAGATTTATCATTCAGAAATCCTTATTATAAATAAAACCTTGATGAAAGAATCTTTTTCCCCCATTGTTCCCAGCTGGAGCGAGTACCCTCTCCTGATCACCGCAGAAGAGGCTACAGGGACCTTGACAAACCTCGCAGATCTCCAGCTATACGATACAGGCGGAGCCGAAGCAGGTCTCCACGAAGGTGAGACGTGGCTCCTTTTCAGCAATATTTTTACCTGTTGTGCTGCAGAGGGCTGCAGTGAAGCATGAAGGAGATGATGACAATTTAGCCCCAGAATCTCTTACACATTCCACGTTCTTTAGCCACTCTTCCTAAAGTGAGGAGCAGTGCAGTCGCAGTTGACATCTGACTGCCCATTTCCCATGATCTTCAGTAACTGCTGAACTTGCTGGCCAGCGTTAGCTAAATATGATAATAGAATGAACATACTAAGTGGAACAAAGTGCTTGTTTTCATGTAAGCCAAAGTTTTGAGAGAAAATCCAATTACTGTTCTTACTGGTAGCAAGCCAGAAAAGAATCATCACTTAACCCTTCTGCTCAATGCGTGGGCCAGACCAAAACATGTACTGCTTCTTGTGCATCAAGCCCAGCAGCTGCTACTGCAGGCTACAGGAGAGTGTCAGGTGCAATTGCTAGAGTGTATAGGGAATGAAACTGGTGGTTCTGTTATTATTTTTAATGCTGCTTTTCTCCCCCAATTACAGGCGAAGCCGCTCTCCAAAGAGAAGAAGGTAATCTTTTATTCTATTACTTTATGTTAAAATGTATGTTTGTAGCATGGCTGTTGTAAAAGCTTCTTTCCTCTCAGTCCATCACCACGCCGGGAGAGGCATCGCAGCAAAAGCCCAAGACGACACCGGAGCAGATCCAGAGAGAGGCGCCACAGATCAAGATCTAAATCTCCAGGTATTTCTGTAGTTTTTAAATTAATCTGGCTTTTTTTTTTTTTTTAACCAGACGACATCTACTGAAAGAAAAAAATCAGTGTCATAGTATCAAAAGGTAGTTTACATGTTTAATCTGGTTTATGAAGTGGTTAATTGTATGAGTGTTGAGAACTGCTCCAATACATAGAAAACTGCCCACCTACACTCTTCAGATACTTGGCAGGAGGTTAATTTGAGTGCCTAATTAAGCTTGCAATTCTCCCATTAGCTAGGACAGTTAGTCACCAGAAGCAGATTGCAAAAGCAAAACAAAAAAGACCTCCAGGGTCTACGGAAGTAATTTTGGGTTGTTTTTTTTTTTTTTTGTCTTATAGGGCATCATCGTAGTCACAGACACAGAAGTCATTCCAAATCACCTGAAAGGTAATATTTCACGGCACATTTCTTAAGGATGTCTGTTTGGTTGTAGGAGCTTGTGCTTGTCATTGCATCTTGGGGATTGAAGGTCTTCTTACTATGTAGTAAATGAAGTATTTGATATGGTTCCTCATTCAGTGTTTTCTAGTTACGTGGCTGTGTAAAACACCACTTATTGCTATAATTCATGTTGTTTGTTTAAAACAGTTACTAGAACTGTGACACATAACTGTTCTCTGTTTCAGATCTAAGAAAAGTCACAAGAAGAGTCGTCGAGGGAATGAATAATGAACTAATTTCAGCACGCAGTTCAGTCTAAATACTGTCCTATTTGCTTTATGGGACAGCTGAATATACACTGGCTGCTTTAGCAGTCATTTTTAATACTTTTCCTCTTGTACAAGTGTTGTTTTTGTGGGTTTTTTTTTTAGTTAAAAGAAAGCTGAAGTTGCTTTTACTTTCTAATCCTTATGATAAAATCTGAAGGTAGTTTATAAATTGTTTTTTTTGAGGCCTGTAAAAAACAGTGAAGAGCAATAAAATAGGGTTTTGTCTTCAAAGTCTCTTTCCTGTTTCTTTTGTAATTTTTCACTGGGACTTCTAATTAAAACTGGCTTTATTCTCAAAGCTTTGTTTTGACTAACATGCTGCATTCCATTGCTAAAATGTGAATATGCTTAAGTCAAAAACACTGAAGCAAGCCTAAACTTTGTCAATAAGCCTCCAGTACAGGAAAGGAAGCAGCACCACAAAAATCTAGCATGGGTTTAAGTTAGTTTCCAATTTCATTAAGTAATCTCCAATATATAGCCAGCACTTGTTCTTTTTTAAGGGATCATCCTTAAGTCTAGTACTAGCTAGGGTCAAAAGATTCAAGTAGAGTAAAATACCCCTTTTTGCCTGAAACACATTGTTATTTAGTAAATTTAGGAACAGTAAACCACTACTTTGAAGATAGATCACTTATGGCCTACCTGTGACTGGGAAGAAAATGAAACATTAGCTCAGCTCTAGCATCTCTTAACGGAGTTAGCATTCGGCAAGACCCTGTTTTTCAAATTAAGAATATTCAAAGTTTTTACTCAAATCACAATTCTTACCTTAGTACATTTAATATAATTAAATTAATATCACAGGAATGTAGTTGTATTTAACTCATTTTCTACTCTACCTTAGACTGACAGTTTTGTCTCTTGAACAC